GAGTTAGCAGTATATTTGTAAATATAATAAAAAGGAATTCACAAATATAGACAGAATGCCACTTTTTTATTACTTTACGTTTCTTTGTTCAAATACTGAGATTATGATTCGGGAGCTCATGCGATAGATACAAAGTGAATACTCTAGCTAAAGAATCATCATATATGAGAATAAATAACGATAATTAGCAATATGTGTGACTTCTAATATCAATAAGAATAACTTATTATTGAAGCATCTTCTTTAAGCTATTAAAATGTAGAAGAATTTATTTGTTTGTTAATTTTTTTTGCGTAAAGCTACGCAAAGGCTATATATGCAAAGCCGTTTCGCATTTTGAAACGACAGACTAGAGGGAAAGCAGCTTGTCAACAGCTACGTTTATCTGATCAAATAGTTGTATTTGACTGCCACTTTTATAGTACACCCATGGTGTGGAGTGAGTTTTGAAACAAGGGTACAAGAACCATGAACTCGCAAATGTAGAACAAAGAAGGTTCAGAAATAAAAAATAGCGTTTTCGTAATTGCATCTTCAATCGTTGCTGTTCTAAAAGTAACCAACAGCCTCGAGATTTGCCATATATTATTCAGTATTTAAGTTAACATAAAATATTTTCACTTTATTTCAAGAATAAAAAAATAACAGTAGAGAGTAGCATATTTAAGAAAATCCAAAAAATAAATCCGTGATTTTAACTTAGTTCCCACTGCAGTAAGCTGAGGCCAAAATATATGGTTAACTTTCAAAATTATCGCATTATACCTTAATGATATTCTGAAATGAGTCGATTTCAAGGTATCCCAACTACGTTTAATATAACTAGAAGAATAAAAGTGAGCCGCAACCATCGCCTTGAAAACTCTTCATCGCTTACAAAAATTCGTTATATTTTAGCGTTCCGGTAAATAGCTTCCAGTTTATTCCATCATCTTCTATTTTGTCATTCTCTTTCTTTTAATACATTTATATATTTATGTTACCTTACAGCAAACTTAGTTTACAGCTTTTGGAGATTATTTCATGCTTATTGACAAATACATTGGTTTGCTGTGAAAAAAGCGGTAGCAGCTGAGAAATTGATTCATTTAACGGAAATCTTAATTTGAATATAAATAAAAAAAGGACGAAAAGAGTTTTATTTGTTTGTTTTTTAAGTTAAGCACAAAGTAACACAATGGTCTATCTGTGCTCTACCCACCACGGGTATCGAAACCCAGTTTTTAGTATTGTAAGTCCGCAGACATACCGATTTACCACTAGGGTGGGGGGCAGAAAAATAGTTCTAATACATATTCATATTTAAAGATAACATACAACGTTTTTACTTAGATCATCGTCGGGTATAAAATAACTTCTTTAATTCAGCTAAGATTATACAGCAAGAGAAAAAACCGTTTTGATCACGAGAAATAACAATGAGACGAGCACGCACAATTATTATATGCTTTTCAACGAACGACATTTTTACTGGCGTAGAGAATTATCTGCTTATCGTATGGTATGAACGCCTTTTCCAAGCTGGCGAAGCATGATTAATATTAATTATACTGTTATAAGACATTATTATTAGTCCTATTATATTTTAAACATTGTATTCTTTATCTAGTCCTTTAGAGATTTTCAATAGTTAGAAGATAGTATAATAATAGTATTCCAGCCGCATAATAATTGTTGTAACAAAATGGCTTATATAAATAGTATTTCAATCACTACTGTATCTGCTGTGGCCCAGCCGATATGATGAGCTCTGGATTGAGCGAAACGCGTCGTCAGCAATAGATATATTGAACATAGCGTGATTGGAATACTATTATATACAGTCTTCTAACTCTTGAAAATAACGAAAGGACTAGATATAGAATGCAGTGTTGAAAATATAATAAGCCTAATACAAAAGTCTTATGACAGTATAATTAATATTAATCATACTTCGCCACTTGGAAAAACCGTTCGTACCATAACAAAAGCAGGGAGTTCTCTAAATAAGGAAAACTTTCTCTCAATGAAAAGCGTATAATATTTGAGCATGCTCACATTATTGTTGTTATTTCGTGATCTAAATATTCTTATGGTATATAAATTCAGTTGGATTAAAGAACAATTATTTTATATCTGATGATGATCTAGGTACATACAAATGTTGTACATCATTTTTAAATATTAGTAAGTACTAAAATATGTTTCCATTATCGACGTCATTTGTTCTTTCAAGCTAATGAGTACTTAAATGCATCTTTATGTATGGATAAATACTCAGAACATTCGATCAGATAACTGGATACTCTTACACATGAATATAATTATTGCTCTGTTGTTGATGTTGTTTTACTTGTGGTATTATTATACTTTGCCTTAACTTTATGTGTCAAAAAGGTTCTCTATGCAATGTACCAGGTTATTTTTGTGACGCTGCCTGCCAGGAAACGCTGACAGATGTATATTACATTTCCATAAGCCTTTGAGGCCAGCAATACCTTGATTTGGTTTGAGAAAAACCAACAACAAAAAAATATGCCCTTGTGGCATCAAGAAAACGACTTAAATAAAGGCGTGGTATTAGTAGAACGAGCTGAAGGCAAACATCTTAATACTATATTAACAGCGTGACCTAAAACATGTTATTTGCCGATGGAAAAATAAACTTGCGCTTCCCGGTGGATGATTTCAGAAAAAAACAAAAACATTTTAGCTACAATTAGACTACATTTTAAGCCATTTAAGTAATATACAGCAAAAGTGAAGTCACTGGCTTTAATATTGATTTTCACGTAGATGATATGCAGAAACATGCTATTATTATCTTATAATTGTTTCTTACAAGCTATTAATTGCATTATGTTTTATGTACGATAAATATTTGTCGCTTATAATTTAGATCACATAAGTAAGCAGTAATATTTCGACCGTTAGATGTCAATAATTTTCCATGATTTCTTTCCAGAACAATAGCATTCAGTTGGGGATAGGCCAAAGAGAACACAGAAGTAAATTCTGGGAAAAAAAATCAACAAGGTATGATAGTCCGGATAAATATTTTGCCTTATATAATTGGTTGTTTTATTAGTTAGAATACTGTTTAAGATTAATTTTCATTTAGAGTTAAACAGTCGACAGAAACGGCTTCAGCAATGAAAAGTAGTACGAAGAACAAAACGGCTAAACACTGCTGTCAATAAATGTATTTATTAGTACAGATAATGTTTCAGGCTACTGCCCCTCCTCAGTTGTGAGGAAGGGCTGTAGCCTGATCTCAAACTTTAACTATTCTATATAAATCCAGCTTTTAAGTTAGTATATACTGTAGGTATGTATATCCAGCTAACTCCTCCCACAGTTACAGAGCTAGCTGGACCAAACTTAACAGAGGGGTTGGGAATGGCCGGTAGGTGTCCTTATTTTTGTGACGTAGCCCTCACCTCTTTCAAGGGGAGTACCAAGGGGGACTGAAATGCCCTCGATAGGTGGGGTCTGAGACCAAGTTTTCAGGTTGCTGAATCAGAATCCAATATCGAATTTTATGTACCTGGCCCACTTCTGGATCCCTGGGTGGTCTTGTTTGATACCGTGTTTATACTCCTACTTATAAACTATTGGAATTAAATTTGGAACACGTGCCCAGGTACCACGGGCGGATTTCTAACGTTTTTTGTTTTGCTTTTCAGATCCAGACACCCTTGGGCTAGCTATAAAAGTAATTAAAGATATTGGTGGAGTTAGATTCGTACAATGGGACTTCTGTGAATCATGAGGGGACCTTTGAACCCTGTAGTGGGTCGCAGGTATTTTATGATAGCATGTTAAATTCGTGCAAGCGACACTGAAATATTGAATTAAACGAAAGTGTGTTTATGGTTTGCACATGTAAGCCGACTGACTTTCTAGCCTCTGTTTGCGAATATCACATCAAATGGAGTAGAATTACTTAGGTCCACGCTAAAAGTCTGTGCAGTCTTACAGTTCCAGTCGAAATTTTATTGTTATTTTAACTTACATCCTTAACTAGTCATTGCAGAAAAGGTACACAATAGGTATTGATGCAAGAAATAAATCCATTATTGTTATCATTATGTACAAAAATTATAAAGAGATGACTCAAGATAAATCTTTGTACAATATCTCAAAATAGGATAACTTTATAAAAGGAAGTAGAAGGTGTACGTTTAACTATTCGTACATCAGGTTTGAACATCGATGTTAAGCTAGTTCTAATCTATAAATGGTTTCTTGTTTAGTTTAACCAAATGAAGACAGACATATTGACTACAAGCAGGTCTTGATTTGTTGTTTACTTTAACCAGATGAGGACAGAAATATTAATTACTAGGTCTTATAGAAACCTTATATATTTCAGTAATGTTATTTATGATTTTTTTGTTGCAGGATAAACCTTTGGCATATGTCATCTCTTTTCCAGACCTTACGACTGATATAAACAGTATGCTAACACCAAGTAAGTTTGTTGTCATAGACAGTGTTTGCTTCTGTTACCTAGAGTAGCATGCATTGTTTGAGAGAGTTTAGTGTTGTGACTTGAATAAGAAACATGATGGGAACTTAAATAAACTTTCAGTTTTATTCAGCATCCCAGTTACTTAAAAGTACACTGAAAGTTATCAAGTTTTTTGGTATTTCAAGATAGCAGCATGATGAAGCTTCTAGTTAAATTCCTTCAGATCCATCACTGTAATAATAGCTTGATTGTGTTTAGTAATTGTAAATTTGCTAGACTCATATTCAGCCTTATACCCTTGATTAGGTTTAGACTTATCGTTTATTCACATATTTGTTTTTTCATAACAGCAATTATTTTTTGCAATATCTAAAACAACTTTTACAACTAATCGTAAGCCTCCATCTTTGTATATATGCAAATGTGAAGTCGAGGTTATACGAAGTAATACAGAGAGCGTTATTCTAGCAAAAAAATGCTTTATTTTTTATATGTTCCATAGATAGTATGCAAGAGAGTAAAAAGTAATTAAATAACTCAGATACGTGTACTAGAAAATTAAGTATTGATTCAGAAACCGAAGATAGCTATAAGTCCGAAGAAAACCCCGTTATATCCCAAAATGTTAGAAATAATATGAAACAATATCCTTGCGACTATTTTGAAGCCAACGTTTCATTTTAGTGTGATTTTAAAGACATAAAAATCTCGATTCAAAATAGTGTCAAATTAACATTATGTAAAATAACATTTAATTAGTGAATTAATGACAAACACTAAATTTCCAAAACAATCATTTATGTGTAACACATTGACCCATAATAACACATAGAAATAAACGCTTATTCTGAGTTCACATACTAGTCTTTAGTTTATTAATTTACATACTTCACAGAGCAATCGGTTAGCGTGAAAAATATCACGTTTTTAGTCTTAACCAATATGTAATTTAATATAAAACTCATTACTATCGACACCACTTAAATTAAAAAAAAAGTCAACTCAGTGTTTTTATTAGTATGTATAAGTTAAGAGAGAAATTGAAGCACAAAAGTTTTAGTATCATATAGTCCCAGAAAGGTAAGTAGAATTGGCGTATTAATCTACACATCCATTTTTATAGTCGTTGATACAAAACAATGCCATCCAGTTTAAAGTAATTCAAAAACGTCGTTATAACTTCACTTTTAAAATGGAATGATACATTTAGAGATTCACACTACGTACATGAAATACCAAGGGATTTGTTAGTCCAGTAAACTTAAGTGGTCATGGCAATGCTATTACTTTTTAATACAAACAGGAATGTTTATTACTTCAGTTGGACAAATTATCGTTTTTAGATGACTGAATAAAAATGTATGAATGGAAGGAGTAAAGATCACCAAGAGATGACGTGGAAATCCAATTCAGTGCCACATTAAATGTATAGTTCTGGAAGTGGAGACAAAGCTATAGAACTAATGGCATGTCAAGTACAGAATAGAGATACACCCATTTCCTCGGTGGCATTACACATTTAAACGTATGGCACTCCTACACATAACAGTTACAGAAAAAGTTTTCATCAAGAATGTGATCACGAACTGTATTAAAACAAGACTGATTGCGAGCAATTCCCAGATGCCAACGAATGGGTGCAACATGTGTACGGCATCATACCATCTGTTCAAAAACTTTACATGAGTAGTACCGCCCAGTGATAGGCATGTATGATGGGGCTGCAATATACTGGACCCACGCATGGTATGTTTTAGCTGCAATATAACTGGACTGTATTTGAACGTGCATAAGGTCATATTAAGTCTGTTTCCCATCTATTAGAGGTACTGTTCAGCTACCTTGCATTTGTTTTCGTGTCTGTTCAATTTTCGTTCATCTGTTTAACTTTCTCTGGTCTTAATAGACATGTTGATGATTCGCATCTTGGCCTGCTTCTGGCCGACTCCAGAGTCTCAGTTCATGGCTGCATTTGTGACACATAACATGACACGCACTTTTTGTCTGGTCATCCTCTATCGTCTTCCCACTAGGAGATTGGCGCTACAATCCTGTACTTTTCAATAAATTCATTCGTTGTGGGAGTCAAACCCTTTCGTTGTTGTGTTTAATGATGCTGTAGAGTTATATGTGCATTACTGCCAAAGAAAATAGCGGATACCTTTGTAAAGTCTTCCCAAATCATTCATTCTATTACATACCAAACCTTGTTCAGTTGACTGGATTACTTATACTTCCCATATCATGATTACTTGTTGGAACGGCTTCCGAAGTTTCTGATGGACACTGGTATATCTTTGGGTGTCTTCCCATCCCGTAATGGACGTAAATTAATACTCTATAGCTTCGACTCCATTTTTCTACCCTTTACATTTAAAATGACAAAGGAATAATTTCAGGTGATCCTTTTTAATATTGCTGTTTTAAATATTTACTTGTGTCAGAATATTCATTACAGTAACTGATGGTAGCGTGGTTGCGATTAGGCAATATTGTTACTGCTTAAACTAATGAACATTTTACTGGAAATGAACTAATTATTTCTTGCGTTTAAATTCCAGAAGAAAATATTCCGCGTAAGAGAAGACGAATTATACATGGTGCAGTTGTTCAATTTTTACATGTAGGTAATGATGTCTCGATCTTTTGTCATGATCACAAAGAAACATGATTGGAAACGATATCTTTCTTCTTATTTCACCTGCTTAAGTAATATTATGGTCATCAGCAAAAATGTTAATTTGCTCTACTTCTTCTTGAAAGGGTAACCACCTTGAGCTGGGTCCTCTTGCCAGTAACGCAGATCAATTTCAGGGAGGTCTTTACAAGGTATCCTGGGGTTACTACAAAACAAAAAGTAAATATTACATTGTCATTACTCGTAAAATTTGAAACAAATAAACGTTATACACAACTTAGTAATACAAGAAAAGCTCTATGATGCCCAAAGGTTTGATTGTTTGTTTGTTTTTTGAAATTCGCGCAAAGCTACACGAGGGCTATCTGCGCTAGCCGTCCCTAATTTAGCAGTGTAAGACTAGAGGGAAGGTAGCTAGTCATCACCACCCACCGCCAACTCTTGGGCTACTCTTTTACCAACGAATAGTGAGATTGACCGTCATATTATAACGCCCTCACGGCTGAAAGGGCGAGCATGTTTGGTGTGACGGGGATTCGAACCCGCGACCCTCAAATTGCGAGTCGAGCGCCCTAACCACCTGGCCATGCCGGGCCCGCAAAGGTTTGAACATTCAATCTTTAAATACTATGTTAATTCATTTTCATCTATTTTGTTATATTCGTATATATATGTTTTAAATTTATCATAATAAGGTAATCTGTGACGAACAGAAAATTATTATTATTTGATTTACATTGCAACATCTCTCGTGCTTCTTTTATTGGCGTGCTGTACTGTGAATCTGAGAATTCATGGTTCGCGTTTTGTTTCTGCTAAAACGCCATTTGCACTTTGGGGTCATGGGAAGTTTATACGAGCGACGGTAAAATTACACTAGTCAGCTAAATTACCCGAAGATCAGGCGGTGGATGCTCTTGACTAGCTGTTTTCTTTCTAGTCTATCAGTTCAAAATTAGAGACACTTAGCACAGGTAGCCCTAAAATAGCTATGCGCGTATATCGGCAATATGCAAACTTCGCCTAGAACTGAAACAAGCCAGTTTTTTAGGGCACTTTTCAAAGAGAAAGTTAGTATGCAAGTCTTCACTATCCTATAATGAAATGTATTACGCATGCACATACCTATACATCAAATATGAAACACCTGTGAACATTAATTGTTATCATTTATTGTATTTTAAAGCAAATGTCAAACTCTAACTTCATATTCGACTAAATTGTTGTTTTTAATGACTCACTTCCGACTTTATCTTTTGTAGTTGCCATGATATGTTAATATTATAACAACTTTTTAATTAATGCTGTTATATTATCAAATAACTAAAAAATACATTTTGAAAAGACTTTAAACATTGATCAGCGAAATTTTAATTTTCATTTCACTCACTAGATGGGGTGAGCAAGTCGCATGGGGTTGAGTTGGATGGTAGGTAAATCATCGGCATTTTCACAGAGTAGCTTGGACTGGGAAGATTTTCTGATCTCCTGAAGTTGCTCTGTAAAAAGTAATGACAAAATTATTATATCCATGTAACATATAAATAAATATGATAAGAAATGGTAGTAACTTTATTATTATTATTAATCAACGTACACTCTTAAGTTAACCGATATAATGAAATATGTTTTGTATATTTAAATTAACATCTGCATTATATCCATATAATGAAGAAATGGTTACTTTTACTCTGTTTTCAGTATTAAATTTCTTGTCTTAAATAAAATTTTAACTAGTGTATGTTATAATTTTATCCACTCTCTCTCTTATTTGCCGATCGAGCTTTGGCGAGACACTCAGATTGTACTAGGATAACATCTTTAATAAAAACCTTACAGATCACTCGGGCCCTCCGACAATAAAATACCTTAAATATTCAAAAATAGATATACGGTTGCATTATAGCATTTTCTACAACAGGGAACCTTCAGAGATAAATGAAATAGCAAGTAAAATGTAGAAATCTGTTGAAAAACAGGAAGTATAATTTACCGTGTCTGGGCCAAAATCACATGGGTTTGTGTAACTTGACGTGTCATGGGATGCAAAGAACAATTTGAAAGTTGAAGTCAGTATTAGGGCAATACAGAACAACTTATGCATTTGCTATATTTGGCATTTTTTTTATCTAATTGTTTGCTCAGTACAAAACAGTCACGGAAGTGAAATAGTTGTTGTATTTAGTTAGCATAAAGCTATTTGCGCTCTGTCCATCGCGGGGAATAGAATCACATATTTTAGTGTTATAAATCCATAAACTTATCACCTGACCCACTGGACAACGCGTGAAATAGTAACAAACGAAAAATGAACTTGTGTTGTGTTAAATGGAGAACAATGTAAACATATTTAATGATTATTTTATAAAAAAAAAGAACATGTAAAAATAAAATAATTATTAGAAACAAGACGTAAGAAAGAAAAATAGAAATTCGTTATCGAATATAAAAGGTGCAAATTATGTAAGACAGATAGGTGAAATTTGCAGTTGGAAAGTCAAAAGTTGAAACTTATTGTTTAATTGAGAGAGAAAATATCAATGGTCGAAAATCATTGATCTCAGAATCAATGTTAATGCCATAAAGGTTAATTGTATTAAAAATAGCAATTCAGTAATCTTCTTTAATTTTCCTATCTGCTTTAAACTGAAATCCAGTTTCGATACCTGAGAGAGCTATATCATTGATAGAATTATCGAGTTGGTTAAACTGTTGAGCAACAGGAAGGTCGTTTTCAGTGTTAATAGAAAGTTTATGGCTGTTACAACGTTCTCTAGAAGTTGCTTTTTCGTAAGAGTTTTCATACAAAGTTACACAAGATCTATCTGTATATAGCTGTCCCTATTTTTGAATTGGTGGAGTAGAGGAAAGGCAACTAGGCAATAGTACCCACTTGTAACTTCTGAGTTACTATTGTCTGACCCAATAGTGCAATTTTACTGTCACTCTGATAGTGCACCCATGGCCCCAAAGTGCGGAGCATGTTTCTGCAGCAATGAGATGCGAACCATGAAACCTCGCATTCTTCAAGCCACGCCTAGCCTCGTTTGTGTTTGTCAAACATAGTGACGATTAATTTTTAATTTTTTTCGCTTTTGGAAATAAATGTTTCGTAAAGTGCAAGTGGTCTCTTTCTTAAATAAATAGATAACACACTTAAAAGCAACAACAAATTTTTGTTTACAGAATAAACATTCTTATTTGAGACTGATATACAGTCACCATTATACTCAACATGCTTCGACGCACTAAATGTCACTTTCAGGAGTATAAATCACAAGAACATTCTACTATTTATATCATAGATGCAAATACATGCAAGTTAAGATAGAAAGCATAAATAGTAGAATATTCTTGTGATTTATACTCCTGAAGATGACGCATTAGAGCCTCGAAACGTGTCGAGTATAATGGTGACTGTATATCGGTCCCAAATAGTGTGTTTATTGTGTAAACGAAAAGTTTATTTATTTATGATTTTAAAAAAGTATCCAAGAAAACGTTTTATCATAACCTCTTTCTTAGCCATTTAGTGGTCTTGTGTTTGTCCGAGAAAGTATCAGTAGTTTTCATGAATTTGTAGCTCTTACAACGAACCTTGTTATAAAGTCGTTAACCTTTCTGTGTAGTTGTGTACTACATCTAGAATGAACCAGAATATCTTTATTTAATTTTGTTTTTACGGAGGGAAACAAGAGGAACTTCGGAAATATTTTAAACGGTCATTTGGATGAAGCAAATAATGTTTCTTTGTTTTATTTTTTACAGTTAGAGAACCAGTTTCTGTTTGTTTGTTTCTAGCACAAAGCTACACAATAGGTCATCCCCACTCTGTCCACCATGAGGAATAGAACCCCAAATTTTACCATTGCAAGTCCGTGAAGTTTCCTCTGGCGCACTGGGGGGTCTTTAGTTTCTGATGGTACGTAATTACAAGTGGAAGTCTGTTAGGTGTTTAGTGTTGGGTTGTTTAAGGACAGTTTGAGGAAATGAACATTAAAGGACCACAACCTGTAGACAGTTTTATTTTAACTATGAACGTTTCTTCTCTGTACACTAATACCGCAGAAGATGTCTTGGAATTTTAAAAATTGCACTTAGTTTAACTAATCTGTCCGAATATATAATAAAAAAAATTGACTTAGCCAGACTTGTCTTAACCTTGATATTAGCTTTAAATGACTTAGAATTCAACAACCAGCATTATATTCAGGCTAATGATACTATCATGGGTACCAAATTGGCTCCTAATTTTGCTATCATATTAATGCTTAGAGAAAAGCAGTGTGAAATCATACATTTGAAAATGTTACATTGGTTACGTGTATTTAGGCCGTTGATATTGAATCTTTCTCAAACTCATTTTCACATGCTAACCTCTTCCAAAACACTATTAGGTTTATACTTGACTATTTATCCCCACACACGAACTTTCTTGATGTTGCTGTTTCTATAAAACACAGGATTTAACACACTAACTTATACAGATATCACTGAGATTGTTAGCAGTTTATCCAGCTCTGCCTTGCTTTATTTGGCAGAGCTAGGTATAAAAATTGGGGTACAGGCATTCTGCACATATACATATTAAGCCATATCGGTGCGGTAAATATCCAATATCTGTCTGTGGATGCATCTCATTCTAAACAAGTTGATCGATCCAAACCAAATCTGACATGATAACTTAGCAGTCCAAAATCAAACCAAATTCATATTAAACATTCCAATATATTAAAAATAAAAACATAACTCCGTATATTGTTACTGCAGTAGCTATTGTAAAGAGTTTAGTTTGAACAAAACTCACACCACAACGAAATTCTGTAAGTCAAAGCTTATAAATAAACTTTTTTAGCAGTAATACAATACTACAATATTCAGCTACAACGCGGGGAATAAAGATATTCCAGCTTTGCCATTTCTGCCAAGTTTCTCGACTCGACTGCTACAACATTTCATTTCTACTGTTTTACAACAATGAACGCTACTGAAAACCCTCGCAGAGTAAATTTGTTCATTTTTAGTAAATTTGTGCACGTTTTCAAGATAAAAAAGTCTTTTTCATTAACCTTCAAAACTTTTAAGGTAAGATATTTAAAATACATTACAAGAGTTTCAAAAATAAAGCCCATTATGGACTGAGAATTCTCTTCTATTTGTAGACTTTCATCGGATCTGTCGGGCTATCACCAAGAGTAGAGCTGGATATGTAAGTTGTCGCTCAAAAATTAGTCAACTTGCACACCTACTTAATTTGTTACCAAATTTGGCACCTCTCCCACTCCAAACATTTTTACCTTCAGTCAAGTATTACTATCAACAAAATTTGTACTGAGAATAACAATTAGAGAGAAAATACACAAAGAATTACTAAAACAATCCATGATATAAAAAGAGAATAAAAACTCAGAAACTGACTGAAAGAGCAAAGAAGATTAAAAAATAAACCATTTTCAAACTACCTAACACAAAGCATCTAAGAGGATTCTTCTTGTAATTACGTACTATAATACTTAAGTACGAATCACGTTTCATTTACTTCAACAGAATAACCGTTAAAAATGAAATTCTTGTTGTTTCCTTCTGAACAAAGAAATACTCAGAGATATTCCAATCCATGCTAAAATGAGTTAAACACCTCCACACAAAGGGTGCCGACCCTGTAATGAAGTTTGTTGTCAGACCAATCGCTTCATGATAACTACCGATAGTTTCTCATAGAAAAGCAAGAAATATTACTGAAAAAAGACCAATTACAATTCACGAAACACCACCTATAGTGGTGTAACGATGAGTCTGTTGAACAAACCAAACGGCTTGTAGAAAACGTCTTTCTTTAACACTTCAAAATTCCTTTCTGGCCATTCTATCAATGAAATAGTTCCTTATCTATCGAGTTTTAATCTCAAGCAGAGAGAAATCAAAGAAGCTTATTGCACTGTCAATCTCAACTCTTAATACTATTAACTCTTATTGCATTGACCTTGATTCTGGCATCAATATCTCCTTTGTTAGTTGAACGTTATGTTTCAACTCTTCAGTTACTATCTTTAACTTTCTGCTCTGCTTATTTTATTTACACAGCTTTGCTGTAAGAAACTAGCAAACAAATTTACTCATTTCTTTAATAATTATTGTATAAAAAATATTTTCTCTGCATTGTTATTCATTTGACACATTACAAGTGTATGTTTAATTTTATGTTTTGGTATTGAGCAAAAGATATATAAATTATAAAATACATACCAGCAAAATAATCAATATTGATTAATTGTTTTATGCTTTTCTAATCTTTTCCTAATCTTTCAAACTGTTCTTTGTATCTCGTGACACGTAAATTAAGTAACCTATCTGACTAACAATTGAATTCCTGTTTTCAAATCATTTCCACACATTACACTCCATTTCATCATTCTTCCTTTACTCCGGAAGAAGACAGTCCTACCTGTCGAGAGAGCTAAGGTTAGATGTGTTTGGGTGTGATTTGCTAAGCTTTTTGGTCCTACGTGTTTTTACTATCATAAAAATATATGTTATATTTATTCTAAATTTGATATTTTTATTACATTAGCTAAATTAGTATTTTAGTTTCTGTAGTGCAGATTGGTGTATAGAAGATATATTGATATTAGAAATAAACAACTCTTTAAAACCAAATTGTTGTATTTCCTTAATTGGACACTGAACGTTTCACTTCACAACTTCTCTGGGAGCGTTCCACTAAAACACAAACCGTAACTAACAGTATAAATCTTCAAGTGTCTAGCTTGAAGCGGTTTGTGTTTTAGTGGA